TTGGCAGTACTAGAGGCTGAACCTATAGATTCTCTACCACTGATTTACTTCCCTGTTCAATAGTTCCCCTTCTGATTTTTCTCTTCTTTTTTTTGTACTGGAAGTTTAATCCAGGGGCACTTAACCACTGAGTCACATCTCCAGTCCTTTTCATTCTTCATTTTGAGACAGGGTCTTGATAAGTTGCTTAGGGCCTCACTAAGCTACTGAGGCTGGTCTCAAAATTGCAATCTTCCTGCCTCAGCCTCCTGAGCTGCTGGGATTATATGCAGCATGCACCACCACACTCAACATGGCACCCTGGTCAAAGATTCTTTAACCATATATAGGTAGGTTTATTTCTGGGTTCTCTGTTCTGTTCCATGGTCTGTACATCTGTCTTTTTAGGGGCAAATCTATGTCATTACTTCAAATAATGAATAGTTGCATGTATGTGCAGTCCAACTATTATAACTGCATGCTAGAGGAAATTTTTAATTATATTTTCTATCCCTGCTATGGGAAATACTACAAAATAATTTCCCTAAAAATAAATGATCAAAAATATGCAGCCAAAAAGTGTTGGAGAAAATATTGTTAATAGGAAATTAATTTATTAAAAATATATTTTGGGGATTTGTGATGCTGTGGTATTTGTTAGTTTTTTAAAATTTTTATAGCTTTACCTTACCTCATTTAAAAATTAAGTCTTTGCGTCTGGGGGTATAGCTCAGTGGTACAATGCATTCTTAGCACATGTGAGGGCCTGGGTTTGATCCCCAGTACCAATAATGATTTTGTACATAATTTTGTATTTATATTATTATATAATTTATATTATTATATAATGGGGGTACCAGGGATTGAATTCAGGGGCACTTGACCACTGAGCCATATCCCCAGCCCTATTTTGTATTTTATTTAGAAACAGGGTCTCACTGAGTTGCTTAGGGCCTTGTTTTTGCTGAAGCTGGCTTTGGACTCACGATCCTCTTGCCTTAGCCTCCTGACCCAATGGGATTACAGACATGCACCACTGCACCTGACTTGTTATATTATTTTTGTTAGAAACCTCCACAAAACCTGGATATGCCTCTGGGTGTGGTACATTGATATAAGTGGCAGAGTAAAATTTGGTAGTTTGTAAAACTTAATAAAGATGAAAGTACAGTGAAAACATTGATATGAATTCTTGTCTGCTATAGTTTGGATCTGGAATGTCTCCCAAATGCTCATGTGTCGAGAACTGGGTCCTCAGCTGGTGGCGCTGTTTTTTTAAATCTTAATTTGTTCATTGTAGTTGTACATGACCATAGAACCTATTTTGATACATTTACAAACATGGAATGTATCTTGTTCTAGAATCCCAGTATTGTGGATGTACAAGATATTGAGATTCACTGTGGTACATGGTGGCACTATGGGAAGGTGGTAAACACGTCAGGAAGTGGAGTCTAGTTACAGGAAGTAGGTCACTGAAAGTGTTGCTTTGAAGGCTTTATTCTGTCCCCATCCTTACCCACCCCTCCCTCTCTCCTTCCTACCACCATGAGGTGAACAGTTCCACCACACAACACAGTCCCGTAGTGATGGGGGCAAATAAGTATAGTGTGAAATGGAGCCAAAACACATCTTTCCTCCTTGAAGTTGTTTTTCTCGGGTATTTTGTCACAGGAATGAAAAGCTTACTAACACAAGGTACAAAAAAAGAGGAAGGGAAGTTGTGGGATGACTAAAGAACTAGAGGATGAGGAGAGATGTGGACCCTACTGATAACACCTCTCTCCCCACTTCCACTACTCTGCCATGTGCAACTGCTGCTTTCTTTTTCCTTTTCCCATTAACTTGCTTCTATGGATTGGTGAGACAATAATTCATGCAATTAGCACTGAACTGTGAAAAACTGACAGCTATGTCCATAACCCAAATCACATTATTTATAATTCTAAAAATATATTATTATAGAGTGCTCTAGGGAACTATTTTGAACTCAGGGCTTTGTGCCCCTGTTAGCTGCTAGGCAGGTACTTTTAGAGGTAACTACCTATGGGGAGTGGGAGCGGGAACTGCTGCTCCTTTAAATGACTGTTACATTCCATTGAAGTTGTTTTGTTTCAAGGTCCTCCAGAGAGGCAAAGACCCAGCCAAAATCACTGAGTCAGTCTGACTCACTCTTCTGAGGTAAATTTGCTGGTTAGAATACTAAATTCTCTGCCCAGGAGGTTTCTTGGTCTACCATTAAAATTTTTATTATCATAATTATTAACACATTAATCATACAAATTAATGGAATTCACTATGATATTTCCACACATAGGGACATGGTGCATGGATTGTGCCCATTCACACTTCTACCTTTCCCCTACCCCTGACACACTTCCCATTCCCTAGTAATCCCTCTTCTTCTTACAGGTTATCTTTTGTCTTTCCCCAGTTTTCACATATGAAAGAGAACATGTGATAATTGTCTTTCTGTGTCTGGCTTATTTTACTTAATGTAATGTCCTTCAGTTCCAGCCATTTTGTTGCAAATGACAAGGTTTCATTCTTTTTTATGAATGAATAATACTCCATTGTGTATATATCATATTTTCTTTATACATTCATCTATTGACAGGCACCTAGGCTGCTTTCATATTTTAGCTATTGAAAATAGTGCTGCAGTAAACATGGGTATGCAGGTATCTCTTTTGTGTGCTCACTTAATTTCCTTTGGATATATACTCAGGAGTGGGATAGCTGGATCCTATGGTAATTCTATTTTTAGTTTTTTTTTGAGGAACCTTCTTACTGCTTTCCATAGTGGCTGTACTAATTTACTTTCCCACCAAGAGTGTGTAAGAGATCCTTTTACCTGCATCTTTGCCAGCATTTATTGTTATTTATATTTTTATTTATTTATTTGATACTGGGGATTGAATCCATGGATGCTTTACTACTTAGCTACATCCCCAGTCCTATTTTGAGACAGGTTTTCCCTAAGTTGCTGAGGCTGACCTTGAACTTGTGATCCTTCTGCCTCATCCTCCCTAGTTTCTGGGATTACAAATGTGTACCACCAAGCACAACTATTTTTTATTCTTGATGATCTCTATTCTGACTGGACTGCAATGGTATCTCATTGCAATTTTAATTTGCATTTCCCTAATAGCTGAAGATATTGAACATTAAGAAAAGTATTGGCCATTTGTATTTCTTCTTTTGAGAAGTGTCTATTCATATCATTTGCCCATTTTTAAATTGCATCACTTGGTTTTAGAGTATCTGAGTTCTTTATATATTCTGGATATTGTCTGTCAGATGAATAGCTGGCAAAAAATCTCTCTCATTCTGTAGCATGTCTTTTCACTCCATTAATTGTTTTTCTGCTATGCAGAAGCTTTTAATTTTGTATAATTCATTTATCAATTCTTGCTTTTATTTCCTGAGCTATTAAGAGTCCTATTCAGGAAATCATTGCCTGTGACAATGTATTAAAGTGTTACCCTACGTTTTCTTCTAGTAGTTTCAAAGTTTCAGGTTTTACATTAAGGTTTTGATCCATTTTAAGTTGATTTTTATACATGGTTAGAGATAGGAATTGTTATGATTTGAATATCAGGTGTTCCTCAAAAGCTCATGTGGGAGACAATGCAAGAATATTCAGAGGTGAAATGATTGACCAATTAATCCTCTAGTGGGATTAACCCAATTAACCCTCTAGTGGGATTAACTGAGCAGTAAACATGGCCAGGTGGGTTATGGCTGGAGGAGACGGGTCATTGGGGTGTGTCTTTGGGGTATATATGTTGTATCTGGCGAGTGGAGTCTCTCTGCTTTTTGATTATCATGTGGAGCTGCTTCTTTTCAGCACACTCTTCCACCATGATGTTCTGCCTCACCTTGAGCCCCAAGGAATGGAGCTGGCTCTCTGTGGACTGAGACTCTGAAACTGTGATCCCCAAGTAAACTTTCCCTCCTTAAAATTGTTCTTGTCAGGTCTTTTAGTCACAGCAGCAAAAAAGCTGACTAAAACAGGGGTTCAGCCTTCTACATATGGATATCTAGGTTTCCTAGCATCATTAAAAAAAGGCTATCTGTTCTCTGATGTGTGTTTTTGGCACTTTCCCAAGAATCATTTGACTCTAGATGCATGGATTTATTTCTGGTTTATATATTCTGTTCCATTGATCTATAATGTCAATCTATAATGCTCTTTTTGTTACTATGGCTCTGTAGTGTGTCTTGAAATCAAGTATTTGTTCTCTTTTTGCTCACAACTGCTTGGGTTTTCGGAGTCTTTTGTGCTTCCATATAAATTTTATGATTTTTTTTAGTTCTGTGAAGAATTTCATGGGTATTCTGGCGGGGATTGCATTGACTGTACAGCTTATTTTGGGCAGAATAGACAGTTTAACAATATTAATTCTTCCAATCCATGAACATGGGAGGTCTTTCCACCTTTTCATGTCTTCTTCAATTTCTTTCTTCAGAATCTTGTAATTTTCATTGTAGAGGTCTTCCATTTCCTTAGTTAAGTGCAATCTTCATTCATGTGTACTCATCATTGTGTCTGTGTATATGTGTGGTGAGCCGCTTCTGCCGTTTCTGCAGACTATGGTCGCCATTACAAGATGACGCTGGCTCCGCTGTGGTCTGTGACAAACAACTCCTTATCTGGGAGAGTTGGCACATGATTTTTCACCACCCTGTACATCACCCTGTGAGAAAGCTCCACGCGGCAGCTTCGCATTGGGGCTTGAGATGCTTTATTAAGGCTGGGAGGGGCATCCGAGAGGGAGAAGAAGAAATATCAAGGGCCTGAATAAACTGCTGAAAGAAGATTCCTGAGTTGCGTCTTCCTTGCGGGCAAGGGGTCGCGACAAGTGGTGCCAAAACCCGGGAACCAGAACTTTCAGCAGTCAGGGGTGGTGCACCGGTTAGTCCCAGGTAAGTGGGATCCGCGACCAAAGCGGGGTTAGTCCCAATAAGTGGGATTCGCGACCAAAGCGGGGTTAGTCCCAGGTAAGTGGGATCCACGACCAAAGCGGGGCAGCTCCTCTGTAATGAAAGAGAGAGCCTTACATTTTATTGCAGCTGCACTGTGTACTTTCGCTTTTGTTTTCTGTGTTTCTTTTGTTGTGTCATTTCGCTTTTGTTTTTTGTGCTTCTTTTGTTGTTGTGATGACAGGGACGCTCCCCTGTAAAAGGAAGAGAGCGGGGACTTTTGTACTTTCACTTTCTTTATAGCTCTAAAAACATTATGGGCGTTGCTTCTTCAAGCCCAATTTTGTTGGCCCTAGATGGGTTGTTACATTCAAAAGGACTTAAGATAAAGCAGAGTACTTTGCAGATGTTTTTAAGAGAAGCTGATATAGCGGCTCCTTGGTTTGCTTTTTCAGGGAGTCTTACGGTTCCCAGCTGGGACAAATTAGGGAAAGATCTAGATTTCGCTCATGAGCAAGGTACCTTGCAGGGTGGCATTATACCACTTTGGAAGTTAGTTAGAGGATGTATAACAGATGGTAAATGCCAGGAAGCTGTGAGTGAGGGTCAAGCTATTCTTGAGCAGCTGCATGAGGAAAAATCTGAAGGATCATGTAGTGAAGTGGCAGAGAGTATTAAAAGTAACAGTAGTGAGAAGGCAAAAGAGCCTGAAGATAAAAATAGGAGAAGGCTCTACCCAGACTTGACCGAATTAAAAATGCCTGAGAACACAAGCGACTCAGAGAGTTCTGAGGACCTTGATATATTGTTACAACAACTACATAAGATAAAAATGAAAAAGAAGAAAAAGGAGACACAGGGCACGCAGGCCTACTATAAGAAGGGGAAGGGAGTTAACATCGGTCAACAAAACTCTGAGGAGGAGGAGGTAGAATATCTAGAAGAAGATATGGTGCCGATTGCCCCACCTCCGTATGTGGGGGGAGCCAAGGTTCCGGGAGATCTTTTCATGCACAAGTTTGGAGGACAGTTAATACAGATATGGGACTTGCATACCCTGTATTTCAGGACAATAACAGGGGAAGATATCATGAGCCTTTAGACTTTAAGATAATTAAAACCTTGGCAGAATCTGTCCGCACTTATGGCATAGATGCTGCTTTCACTCTCACTCAGGTGGAGGGACTTACTAGATTTTGCATGACTCCCTCAGATTGGGCTAGTCTAGTCCGCGCTTGTGTTTCCCCAGGGAAATATTAGGAGTCCAAAGTTGGCTGTTTAATGTTTCTGGCAGTACCCAAGACTCGGAGCGAGGTAGGAGGCTTAAAATTTCTGCAAATAATTCACAATTATCTAATGCTACATTACCCTCCGCAGCAGTCTGTCTCCAATCTCCGTTCCTGTTTCTTTTGGCTAATGATACATCACAGGGGATGCTTAATTGCTCTAATATTACCTGTTATTTGTCTGAGTGTTGGAATGGCTCCTGGACTATGACAATGGTTATGAAAATTCCAACTTTTGTCCCGATCCCGGTTACTGCAGATCCAGAGTCATTTCCTATTGTTGAACTGATTAGAGCCCATAGAGATTTTGGAATTATGGCAGCTATAGTGACAGCTGTGGCGGTATCTGCTGCTGCAGCAGTTACAGCTGGAGTAGCCATGGCCAGCCAGGTACAAACTGCTGCCACTATTAATCAGGTTATTCAACAAACATCCACCATACTTGAATCTCAAAGTAGAATTAATCAACACATTTTATCTGGGATTCTGGCTGCTAATCAAAGGATAGATCTACTTCAAGCTCAAGTTGAGGAATTGTCTGATCTAGTACATTTGGGTTGTATTGATCAACGTGCACATTTATGTATAACCTCTGTCAGATTTTATGATTCCAGAAATGCCTCCCGCATCATCGGGGAGTATCTATCCGGAACCTGGTCCATGGAAGCAGAAAACTTGATCCAGTCTCAACTAACTCAGATTGCTGTTTTGAACAGTACCCGTGTCGATCCCGTGACTTTGGGTCAGTTCACCGATTGGATATCTTCTGCTTTTTCCTTCTTCAAAGAGTGGGTGGGGGTAGGCATTTTTGGTGCAATGTGTTGCTTCGGTATGTTCCTCTGTTTGTGGTTTCTCTGTCGCCTTAAGGCCCGCAGTGCTCACGATAAGGCTATGATCATACAAGCTCTTGCAGCTTTAGAAAATGGCAACTCGCCTCAAGTCTGGCTTGCGCATCTTAAGCAGTAAACCTTTGTCATGGTCGTTACACCCCAAGTTATTATAACATTGCACTGGGATAGACATGACTTTCCTTGTTATTCTCTTAGTGTTGGAAAGCACTTGCACTCTGCCGGTCTTACTGCCATTGCACGCAGATGGGTTTCCACACTAGTACTTTTCTATCGCCTTAAAGTCCGTGCCTTTCTTTCAGGGTGCTGTCAACTTGTTTGTCGTTATAAACAGCCACAGTTCAGCCTCAGCTATCCCCCTTCGTCCACCATCGTCACGATACAGGATGCGAGGCAAGGCACTGCACTTGAGTGATCCTTGACGTGGACCTCAAGGAGAGCATGTCCTATTGCATGCGGGTTCGACGCGTCCACGCCCCGCCCCACGAAAAAAGGCGTCGGCTGATATGGCTTCAGATCTGGGGAAGGCGCCTCCTTAGGACTGAGTCATACTATGCAGCCACTTCTGCACAGTGGGATAGGACCTCTACTCTCGCCTGTATTGTTTTAAGAAAACAGAAAAGGGGGAACTGTGGTGAGCCGCTTCTGCCGTTTCTGCAGACTATGGTCGCCATTACAAGATGACGCTGGCTCCGCTGTGGTCTGTGACAAACAACTCCTTATCTGGGAGAGTTGGCACATGATTTTTCACCACCCTGTACATCACCCTGTGAGAAAGCTCCACGCGGCAGCTTCGCATTGGGGCTTGAGATGCTTTATTAAGGCTGGGAGGGGCATCCGAGAGGGAGAAGAAGAAATATCAAGGGCCTGAATAAACTGCTGAAAGAAGATTCCTGAGTTGCGTCTTCCTTGCGGGCAAGGGGTCGCGACATATATGTACAGCTATTGTGAATGGGATTGTTTCTGTGATTTCTTTCTCTCTCTTCCAGAAACAATTTTAAGGTTTGCAGGGTTGTGTGTGGATCAGTTTGATTAAAGAAGTTTAAACCTTTAGGTCATGGAAGAAATTACTGTGAATTATCATAGCTGATACTGAATCTGTGCCTAATGACATGGTATAAGCAATATAGACACACTATTAATGTCTTTGTTTCTAGACAATCATATACTCAATTGTTGAGATCTGAGGTGAAGACTGAGTGTGAAAGTTTTCCAGAAAATTGGATTCATCTTGGAATTCTTTGGGGAAGTAAATTTTGAGAGGTGGAATTTGGGGAAAGTTGTTTTGTAATTTCCTAAAGTCAAATTTGACCATGGCTTGTTGAGAATTACTCATAATTAAGTACTCATGGATTTCAGATATTTGAAGATTAAGCATTCCTCTAGTGGCTTGGAAGATGGTGTTTGTTTAGAAGTAATACATGTTCAAGTTTCCCCAGTTAATGGATTGTCCAGCAAGATCACAGTTTCTGTGCTAGTAGCAGAAGATGTCCAGGGAAGAGTTAGCAGCAGCAGCAGCAGCAGCCGGCATCCTATTTATAATGGAGGCAGAGACAGCATAGAACACAAAATAATCAGGCTGCTGCCCCATCATAAGGTAAAGATTTAATGCTTCAGTCACCTTGGGGTTTAACACTTTCTCAAATCAAGGGATGTTGAGGGCTTCAAGGGGCCCATGATCCAAGACTGCAGTACTATGAAATATACTTCAATTTCACCCTCTGGAAAGACACTTCCTATTGAATTGATTGCCTTTTCCACATTGGAACTAAAACTGATATTACACTGTGGGCTGATAATTCTGCAGGATGAAAGCATTCTGACTTTCCAGCAACCACATTTCTTTTGAATGCTCAGAATTTGGATTATACTGTGAAAAAATTACAGCAGAACCACCTCCTCTCACCTCATCAAACTTCATGGTTTCAAATCCAAGGCCAGAAAATGTTCCTGACCTGAGACACATCCATTTGCCTTGAAGAATTCCCTCCATGCTCTATGACATAGACATTAGTGAATGCTGACATTACGGAACATGGACTTCCACAGAAAGAAGGGCCCAATGTGTGCACCATGAAGTAGGATTGGCCAGCTCAGTTTCTTGAAAGACAGCAAGACAAATTTAACTTTTTTTCAAACCCACTGATATTGCCTCTAACAGACAGATCTGTTAGGCCATTAGGAAGGATTTCTGTAAAACCTGGGTAAGATTTAGAATGTGGTCCTGAAAATGACCACTATGCAATAATTGCTGTAAAAAATCAGGTTGGAGTTGACTTCATATGACACCTTGCAGGTGGGGACAGGCAGAGAAGTTTTCTTCAAAGAGTTCTTCTAAAAGTGGCAGTCACAAAAGTGATGGCGGCATTCTACTTTTTGCCATAGATGGCAGAGAGAAAAAAGTTGGGCTGCCCAGCCCTCTTCCTTAGCCGCCAAGGTCAGCACCTCACTTAGAGCCAGTCCTGGCAGTAGAGAGATGGCAGCAAGTGTAGAGAGGTGATTGGCATTTGGTAATCTGGGTGAGAGTTTTCCAGGCTATTATAAAGTACGATGCACAAGGTACATTTCTAAATACTGAAAGCATTTTGCTGTGAATGTACATTGTGCCACCAATTAAAGCCTTTGGTGATACCACAGCAGGATGCCAGGCAGCAATGTGATCACCGATCATCAGGACTTTAATGGACTTACTGATGAGTGGTACAGTACCACCAAAGTCCAAAGCCAGTAATTTATGTTTACCCCGTGTTACCAGCTCAATACAAACTAATTTCAAAATTGCAGCTGGAGGTGTTAACAGGAGAATAATCTTCTGAGTGGATGATTATTTTATCAGTCTCAAGTTATACAGACTGGTCATTGAGTAGTATAAGTCTGTGCCTTTCTAACTGGGCTGCCACCTCTGTTACAGTGTAGATTTCTGAGGTATACAAGAATGAATTGTTGCCATAAATCCTTTCAAAGAAAATACACCTAATTTCAGGAATGTTGTGTCCTGATTAATACAGAGCTCTGTGTAATCCTTCCTTCACATTTCTAATTTTTATAAGTTGTTAATAGACCTTTATTTTATTTATTTACTTACATGTGGTGCTGAGAAATGAACCCAGTGCCTCACACATGCTAGGCAAGTGCAGTACCACTGAGCCACAACCCTAGCCCTTCCCTTCACATTTAATAATAGTTTCCACTAAGTTGTGATATTGCATAAGCCTGTATCACTAATCACAATCATCTGAAATGTGACGTGTGCCTTTTCCATCAAAAGGGTACAAATCTTGTGTTGACATATGCACATTTCTTATGGTTCTACAAGTGATTACTATTACAGAGTAATCAGAATTTTAGTCTTTTAAGGCCAAAATCAGGTTACAGAATCCTTCACAGCATTTTGTTAGGTATTGAAAAAGTGTTTCTGTGCCGGGTTTCTGTTCTTGCGACTAAAAGGCTCAGGGGTCACTCCAGGTAAACTGAGCTAACTGGGCTGCACAAAATAACCACACAAGAGACACAAATACCTTTTTCTTTGGGGTTGCTGTGACGGCTCCTCTGACCTTAAGGGTCCACAGAAAGAGAGAGAGCGAGGGCACGCGCTGACCCCTTTTATTGAGGAGAAGCTATTCAAATGAGGCAAGGGGTTAGGTTTCAGGGGGCTGAGTCTATCTTCATGATGTCCACTGTCAGCAGGTTGACTGACACCTGGGTAGGCCACACCCAAGGGCACAGTAAGAGAAGGGGACACACACAAGGCACTTCCATGGAAGATTCTATCCCTAAACAGGGCAAGGGGTTATATTACAAAGGAACAGGTGAGCATAGCTTCACCCATGCGCTGTAGCAAGACACACCCATGCACGAGACACTGACCCTCGGACCCAAGAAGGGTGGGGAAAGCTCTGCCACATTTCTGTGACTGAGCGCCTCAGCACCTAGCCAGGGAGTGTGACTCAGTCACGTGTAAGGTTGGTCTCCCACATTTCTGGGATCTCATCATTCACTTCTTGAATTTCCCACATGAATAAAATGTGATGGAAGCCCTTGATTTCAGTCTCCATCCTACTTTCATCTTAGAATCTCATTACCCATTCCTGAAGTCCATTATACTTGGCAAGTCCAATATACTCATAAGACAAATATGCTTCAAGCTGTTGAGCTATTCCAATGTGTCATGTAGAACCAGTGGTACCTGATGAACTTTATCAGCATTCCCAAGCATCCGAATCTGTGACATTTGCTTCCATGCATTTTCTAGAAGGAAAGTAGATTGTCTACTATGCAAGAACCCAATCTCTTCTAGCCTTGATAAAATGAAACTGTAGTATATAACTGAGAAATAAGCTGCATAGTGTCACTAACTCTATAACTTTCATGAATACAAAGAACAATGCTTGCATAGTCTTTAATTTTATTTTTGAGACATATATAATAAAGATTGCCAGTGTAAATCTTTAGATCTGCTTCTCCATCAGAAAGCAATGCTCCACCCAATCCCAGCTATTAACTTCACAATATGTATATGTGAGTCTTTAGTTTTCTAATCTCCCATAGCCCCTCACTGGAACCCACTAGTTTGGCCACACTACTGGTGGCAGCAGTAACTCATATGACTTACTCTGCAGGCTGCTGTGCAAGCCAGATTTTGTAGTAATACCTGGACACATTGGTCCAGCTGATGAACTGTGTCTTCCATTGTGAGCTGAGGTGATTTCCTCAGGCTCCACATAGTGACTATATTTCAAATGGCCTCAGAAGAGGAAGATTCTGGAATTGCTGCTTCAACTGTCTAATGACAACATGAATCATGGTTCCCCCAAGTCCAAATCTACTAACCCCAGCTTCTCTGCCAAATTCTCGAAATGCTTCCTAGTTGTCTAGGCTTTTAGAATAGACAAATTCAATCTCTTAGTATCTATACTGCTTGCACTCTATGAAGATTACAAATGTGGAATGATCCTTTCATGGTGAATCTCCACCAGAAGCACTTTGATAAGGCCTGATCTTCTTGCTGCAGACTCAGTGTGGCTGATTGTTTTAGTTTTTTTGCTGCACTAACTTAAAGACCTGACCAGAACAATTTATTTGGGAGCTCATGGTTTCAGAGGTCTCAGTCCGTATACAGCAGACTCCATTCCTCGGGGCTCAAGGTGAGGCTGAACATCATGGCAGAAGGGTGTGGCATAGGGAAGCAGCTCACATGATGATCAGAGGCAGAGACAGACTCCACTAGCCAGATACAAAATCTATACCCAAAGCCACATCCCCAATGCCCCACCTCCTCCAGCCACATCCTACCTGCCTTTAGTTACTACTCAATCCCATCAGGAGATTAATTCACTGATTGGGTTAAGGAGCTTATAATCCAATCATTCCTTCTCTGAACCTTCTTGCATTTTTTTACACATGAGATTTTGGGGGACACCTCACATCCAAACCATAACTTGATGTTGCTTTTAACTGGCCCAATCTTCAGAGCAGAGGTGCTCTGTTGCTTGTTTCTCTCAACAATGTTCCCCAAGACCTCAGCTTCAGTGGGGTCTCCAGCAAATATTTCTGTGCCATAATCATTGATGTACTGCACACTTAATGGTCAATGTGATCCAAACAGATAATCTGCAGGAATCTCTCCTGCTGCTTCCCAAATGGTCTGCTGATGGGATTAGCAGATCGTCCTGGATTGATAGCAATGGCATCAATGACTCTCCAGACTTTGTTATGGTCTTCTAGTGCCTGAGAATAAAATAATAAAAAAAAAAATCCAGTTTTACCTTTGTTTTTTAGTTTTACTCCTAAATGTGTTGCAAGAGTAATGTTTATTATAAGATAAATAATGTAAGTCTTTAATGATTGTTAATATAGAGGACTGTGGTAGTTCAAGTTTAACAAAACAT